TGACAGACCTAAACGTAAATGCCAAAACTAAAACACTCTTAAAAGAATTCATACGAATAAATCTGTGACCTTGGGTTAGGCAAAGCCTTATGTACTATACCAAAACACAAGTGACAAAAGAACAAAACAGATAAATTGGACTTTATCTAAATTAAAAATTTATGCTATAAATGATACCTTCAAAAAAGTGGAAAGACAACAAACACATTCTAAAATTGTGATATTTGCACAATTCTGTAAATATATTAAAAAAATAAGTTGTATACTTTAAATGAGTGAATTGTATGGCATGTAAATTATGTCAATTAAGCTGATTAAAAACACTGGCTCACTGTTGTGTTTCAAGGTGATACAGCTATTGTAGGTATGGACACATGTTGCCTGTTTCGTAAGGGAATATGCCTGAGAAATTAGGAAGTCACAGGACAGAGGAGGCATATTAAAAATTTATGGGGCAAAACAAAAAGTTCAGGCCTGTTACATATTGGTCTTATAGAGGATTATCTATCTCAGGTATGATTTTCCTAGATAAGCCAAGTTCGGCAAGAATGAATGCTTTGGGCAGTCCTAGAAACATGACCATGGAAGACTCTAGACAAATCAGAAAAACAAATGCTGAGTTATTTTCCTTTGGGCAAGATAATTTGATGTAACTTAAATTCCTTTGAATTTTTATAACTTTGGACTTAAATTTTCATAAAGATTTAACCTTTGGTCCTTGATTTCACCTTGCAGAGTTCATAATGAGAAGCAGTTTATATTCACATTTTGGTCATTTCGTTGTTGCGGTATCTTAATTTAGCCATTTAATCTCATTGCAGAACCACTCATAAGCAAACTTGGACAATACAGCTGCACATAATTTAAAACCAGAACTAGGTTAGGGAGTAAATGTTCTGGTTTGAGTACAGAATTGCTTTAGAATCTAATTAATATACTGTTCCAAGGTCCATTTCAGAGTTTTCTGGAGCAAAATCAACATTGACTTATATTGATTAAAAGTGGCTCACAAAAGAACAATAGTTGACATTAGGGAGTGATTTTACCTCTTTAGTATATGAAAGATATGGGTAATTATAAAAGTTGTATACCTAAATTCACCGATTGTGTATTGAATATTTGTTAAATGTTTACTATTAAGCTTTCTTTTAAAATATTTCATGCCTGAGGGTACTAGTTCCTAAATTGGTTAAATTGTCTTTTATTGATAAAAGTTTTCCATGACATCATGGCATCTGTTTCATCGTGTAAATCTTCCATGATATCATTTCAAATACCTGCCTTAAAATAATAAAAACGGTTTCATGTGTATTACACACATTAGCAACAGAGCTTCTGTTTTTCAATGTAGTCATAATTTAAAACACTTAGGAAAAATTAGAATAAATCCATAGAGTATAAAGGAAGCTATATGAACCTTGATGCCTCCTGACAGCATAGTGGCTGGGTGAGTAGGGAGAGTGACCCAAGAGCTGTATCAACTTTATGACCTAGTCTTGGGAGTTATATAGTATACTCCATTAGTTGAAGCAGTCACAACAGCCCACCCAAATTAAGGGGAAGGGACATAGCCTCACCTCTTGATGGGTGAGTTGCAAAGTTGAAAAATGTAATTTGTCACATTAGGTATGACATAATCTTTTAAATATGACAAGTGCCGTTCCCTGTCTGTGTTACAAAACAAAACTAAAGGAAGATCTTGATTTCCTTTCGGGAAAAATAAGTTCACTAGTTTGAAAGTCATTAGTGAAAAGCTGGAAAAATATTGGTACCAAACAATCAGGTTTAAATAGAGAGCTAACTCTTTTGGTTGGTAATTGATAGGATGTTACAGTATGACATAAACTGGCATCATCAAACTATGGCATTCCAGACTACAATGAATAGGAAACATGATTCACATGTTCTGTACGTTGGACTATTGTTAAGTGAATTGATTCAATAATGTCCTATTTTCTTCTTTTGTAATTAAAAACCATGAATCTGAAAAAAAATGGGTTTATTTTCAAAAATGCATTTTTAACATTTCAAATTCTCTAGAAGAGCATTAATAATAAGTAGTGGAAAATAAAGGAAAATGAAGAATTTCAGACAGCAGAATAAATTTAAATTATGAGAAGTTAGAATTTAGAAATCTATAAACCCGAAAAATATGTCTTGTATCAAAGGCAAAAAAAAGGGCCTTGTTGGAACTGCAAAATCTCTTTAGTACATACCGAATATCAAATGTCATGCATGTCATCACATTTGTTTTTAGTATTCTTACTTCCAGGCATATGTAAGTTTTCTACCATCAGGCAGTTCTCACAGGCCCGGCATGAGCCTTCCTCATTCTCTGTTTGGCAGCTCCTGGGTCCTTCCTTTATATGTATGGAACACCAACTCAAAGAACTCCACCCAACTCATCACTTGCTAGTTGAAAGACAGCCAGTTAGAGGATGTAAAATTTATTGACTGGAGAAAGACAAGGAGAATTCAGAGATTGTTCCATTATACAGAATGAAACAGCACACTCCCCGAGCCACAGTGTCTCAGATCCCCAGAGTTTTGTGCCGAGAGGTGGTGCTGTGGATGATACCAGGTGCAGAGAGTGAACGATTGCATCAGTATGAGAATCCCTGCGACATTCTCATGGATATTTTTTAAAAACTTTTTTAGAAGTATAAATACACATAAATGCACATATCGTTTGTGTTCAGCTTGATGCATTTTTGGAAAACGAACACACGAAAGAGTTAGTACATTTTGTACTCTACCCTGCCCAACTGTTCTGGAAACTCTGGCCTGGGGTTTGTTCACAAAGTAAAACCACCCAAATACATCCGAGTATTTACTATGAAAACTCTATTTCCTCAGCTGGTCCACGCTTCAAGCCTATTTAAGACCCTCTTAACAGCCACCTTTTCTAATTACTCCAGCGCCTATCATCTCTCTCCTTTGAGCTCTTGGTTACCACATATTTTAGTAATTTCTAAACTAACTAATTGATTCACACCTATTCTGCTTTCATTGCAATTGCGTTTTGAGAACATGTATTGCTTACTATTTAATTGAGCAGTTAGTTTTTCTTTAAATATACCACTTAAAATTGTTTTCTATATTCTTTAGTATTAATACAGGAACAAAAACAGAAGATAGTGACAAAATAGAATTATTGACCACAGTTACCTAATTAAACAAAGAGTATTCAAATCTTTAATGTCCAGGTCAAAGTTCCAACTATTTTAACACTCTGTCCTGTGAGATAACCAGTTCACTGATGTGATCAAAGATATCTATAAATTCTTACAATATTTCTCCAGTATATTGGCAGGATATTTTAATTAACATCTCCCAAATTGTGAACTTGTACACTTGAGACCAACTACAATAAGGCTTCCCTTTCTACAATTGCCTTTCCCTGCAGGACGGGCAAAGTTGACCATATTGGCCTTGAGGTCTCCAAGCTAAACTATTGGCATATGTAGGCAGAGTTTTCTTTTACAGATTTTACTTAAAGACTTACAACCAATTTTACTCATCAAATTAGTAAAGATTAAAAAAAATTACTCGTCTGTCAAGAACGTGGAGAAACAGGTACAACCAAATATTGCTGAGAGTGTAAACCATACAACCTCTTTGAATACAATATGGCAATATTTATTAAGAAACTGTACACTCGTATGCCCAATAATTCCATCTCAACAATTTTCTTAGTAAATGTTCATGGATGTAGATAAAGGTTTACATGCCAAGCCATTTAATCACAAAAATATTGAAACAACCATCTAACAACAGGAAAAATGTCAAATTATTACATGTTTTTGGAAGTGCGGACCATTAGGCGGAAAAAATAAGATACTGAAGAAATTTTAGATATGGAAAATGCTCAGGATATAAGTTTTAAAAGTTTGCAGGACTTCGTAAAATTAATAATTATCTGAGTGAAAGACTGAAAGAAAATGTTCTGAGTTGGTTATCTTTTAGTGGTGTGGTTATTGGCTATTTTTCTTATTTATATTTTTTACAGAGAACTATTATTTTTACAATCAAAATTTTTTTTTAGAAAAATACTGTTTTGGGAGTACTGTGGCATGTAATCAGGCATTCAAAGTCTCAATCATGAAGCACTCGTTAATTTAAAAACCACGGTAGCATCTCTAAATCATAAATTTTGACCTCTTTTCCTTTTGCTTTTTTTCATTATAAATCATTTCCAGCTACCTGAATTTCATCTCTAAATTTGAGCATTTTATGTTATTGCTCTTCAAATATGACTTTGGTTTCTTCAGCTTGATAAATTTTTAATATTTCCACATTAAAGAAAAATCTGAAGTTGCATGGGTTAAAAATAAAAACTATCGGTATCTTTGATTTTCATCCGAAGATAGTCCTTTACTGTGTCACGCACTTAGTTAACAAGCATTAGCATGTTAGAACTTTTTCCTGGACAATTTTTAACTTCAAAAGGAATGGGCAAGACCACTTTGTAGTCAATTACACATGGAAACTGTGGTCCACCTGTGAACCTAGGAGACACAATTGGAAAGGCTGGAAAAAAATGCATTTATCAGAATATCTATTCAGACCTGTTCAGCGGATGGCAGGAACTTCAGGAGTGGGACTCAGGAGCAAGGAGCCTGCCCTAGAAATAGAGATTTGGGAAACCTGAGCATAAAGGTGATGGCAGAAGACATCCAGTGATGGGCTACTGCGGGTAGAGCTAGCCTAAACAGAAAAGACCAATCAAGGAGGTTAGTGAGAGAACACACAGATTAGGGTGGAGGACTGTGGAAGAGGAAGGAGATTCACAAAGTTTGAGCTGGAATAACCGGATAGTTGATACAATGCTCCCTTTAAAACCACATTTCAGGCACTCGCTAGACCTCAGCTTCCTCAACTTGGAAAACTTTGCAGTTAAAGGTGTTTCCCCCGTCTGGACTCATCTTGATCCTAGAGCCAGAACTTAGACACCTCCTCATTGCAGAGCTGGAGGGCACGCATGCGCCGCAGCGCAGTCCGTCCCTGGGGGCGGGGCCTGTCCTTTCGCTTCAGGGTTTGCTCGGGCGCCAGCCCCGCCAGCCTCACCTGCGGGTCACGTGGCCCACGCCGCTCGCGGAGCACCTGAGGGCGGATCCCGAGCGCGGCTTGGCTTTGAAGTGAATGGGGCTGCGCCTATGGGCCAGTTTAGCAGCAGCAGCTGCAGGTGGGGAGTACAACGGGGGGAACTCCCACCTGCCAGCGTCTGAGCCCTCGGTTTCGCTGCATCTGGGTTTAAGTGCGCGATAAGGACGGGCCTGGACCTTAACTGGAGCGAGGCACGGTTGTGCTGCAGCCCCGCGCCGGGAAAGGCCCGGCACCCCACCGGCCGTGGAGTGAGCGCCGGGCTCCGAGGCCGCCTTCCCGCCTGGGTCACCAGACCGCAGAGGCCCGTCTGGCTCTCAGAGTTGGGCAAATTCTTGATCCCTGCGTGCGGGGGGAGTAAGTCACGAACTTTATTTTGGGGTTCTTGGCACATTTCGCGTTTGCTTTGGATTAGGTGAGGATGCGTGTGTTGACACAGGCGAGTTGACTGGGTTTGCCCGGGGATCGAGCGGCCGATGTGACAGCCGAGGCCTTCGTGAAGGCCACACTCCGAGGCTTGAGTGCTTTTCAGAATAAAATGGCCTCGAACTGCAAAGGGAGCTAGGGCCACAAGGGTGTGGACGCCTAAGTTAGTTTGGAAAATTACCTGTGTGCACTTGCACAGTTGGGATTTGGGAGTTCGCTAAAAAGCACCGCCTGATCTTGTTTGTTTTCAGTGCAGTAATACAGGCGATTCTCCAGGTTTTTCGCCTATTTTTGTTTAGGCTTTATTGGAGCGTGTTTGAAAAAAAGGCCTAACTTTAGGAGTAAGATGAAAATGGGAAAAGGCTCCATCTTTTTGTATGTAGAGATTTCTGTAAGTAAGATTAGAATAACAGCCTGTGAGTTCTACAATCCCAGGTTATACCTATCTTCAGGGCTGGTTATGAATTACCTCTTTTTACACGATTTTTCCACTGAGATTTTTTTTTTTAATAATAGTTTTATCTTAACTTTTCCAATCATTTTGTATTATGTTTATATAAAATTTAAAGGCCAGAACCCAACTGGATTTGGGAAAATATAAATATTCAACAAATATTTATTTAAGCACAGTAGGCGTCTGACATTGTTTTACATGCTGTGGGTACAGAAACGAGCCAGGTAGACAAGATCTCTACTCCTTTAGAGATTGCATTTTACATGGGGGTGGGGTAGACAAATAAGTACACCAGCTGGTGGTAATTGCTACCTGAGGATTAAAATAGGGTAATGTGCTCGGCTAGAGAGTGGCTGTTTTAGATTGGGAATCCCTCTCCGAGGAAGGACACTGAAATTGAGATCTGAGAGAAATAGGATCCCAAAAGCCAGGGAAGAGAATTTCAACATAAAAAAATAATAATAAAAACAACAACAACAACAACACTTTGTGAAATAGAAGACTGGAATCTGTTTGACCGGGGAGGCTGTAAATAAGTGAGGGAGAGGGAAAGTGGCAGGCAAGGGCCAGATCATAGAGAGTTTTGTAAACCATGGTGAGGAATTTGGATTTTATTCTAAACTTGTAACTTTTGTTTTTAAGTGCCGTCTGGCTAAGTCCATTTTGCCACGGTCTTTGGTTTCCTTGTCTCGGTTTCCTGCATTTATTAACTTGGTTCTTCACCTCAGATCTCGTGTCATTTTATTCTTTATCACACAAGATGACAAACCATGACATAGTTTACAACACTGCCACTTAAATTTGGAATGCAACTTTAGTTTTTCTGAGTGAACCCTACAGTTCTGCATCTTAAAGACAGAGCAATAGCCTTGGTTCCAACCTGTGGAAAGAGCCACTGAGACAGTTTGTTAAAATAGTGAAAAATCTTTTTGAGCTAGCAGATCTGGAATGAGGCAGCAAGGAGAAGTAATGAGTTGAGGGAAAGGCTTCAAAGATGAAATACCTGAGGTTTCTGATGTTCAGTGTCAAATCAGTTTGAAGTTATCCAACAAAGTTCTATTTTAGGAGTTAACAGAGCTTTATTGGTGTGGCAATGGTGACTGATTATCAGAGGTGGTAGTCTTATAAATTTTATTTCTCAATATCCCTGGTATAATAGATTGTCCTTTAAAAATATGTAGGAGCTTTTATTGAGCAAATTCTTAAATCAATTTTGGCGTTTTTATATGGATTTGAGTTGAATTTATTTGCTTTCTAGGATGAAGTAACCTTAATCTATTTAAAAATTGCAGGATATTTTACTTCAAATAAAGAACATGGTGAAACTAATTCACACATTAGCTGATCATAGCGATGATGTCAACTGCTGTGCCTTCTCCTCTTCCCTCTTGGCTACTTCCTCCTTGGACAAAACAATTCGCCTGTACTCCCTAAGCGACTTTACGGAACTGCCACTCTCTCCTTTGAAGTTTCATACCTATGCTGTCCACTGCTGCTGTTTCTCCCCTTCGGGACATATTTTGGCTTCATGTTCAACAGATGGTACCACTGCCCTTTGGAATACTCAAAATGGACAGATGCTGGCAGTGATGGAACAGCCCAGTGGGAGCCCTGTGAGAGTTTGCCGCTTTTCCCCAGACTCCACCCGTTTGGTATCAGGGGCAGCTGATGGAACTGTTGTTTTGTGGAATGCGCAGTCATACAAGTTACATAGGTATGCATATTTAAATCGTTCCTGTTTTCAATACTTTTAATAGGTCTACCAAAAAAAAAAAATCAGGAAGAATATTTTGATGACTTTAAGAATCAGATAATTTTCACACATCACAAGGAAAAATATTTTGAGCTGTCTTCTCATGGTCATAAAAACAGATGTGTAGTATGATCCTTGAAGTAGATTTGCTTGGCTCTGAGTGTTTTAAGAATTTTCAGCCTTTTGTAAAATAAGGGTTAATCTTGTTAGACTTTTATGAATTTTTTTACTGCGAGGGGCAAAAGTCTTTTGAATAAGATTAGTAATTTTAGGTTTTGTTTTTGTAGCTTGTGGCTCAAGTGTTCTTAATAGTGAAGTAATGGTAGGTGAGACTTATCTAAGAGACACAGCTATTTCCTGATGAGAGTTCTTGCTGGTTGAATGAGCAAGCCCACAAGAAAGAACCTTGTGGTTAGTGTGGTGTTGTATTATCATTTCCAAATCAAACACAACACCTGAAAAACTCCTTTTGGATAAAAATATATCAATTGATTTAAATGAATATGTTCCGTTACAATTTACCACCATTAAAATCACATACTTTTCTGTATATGCGAAATGTTTATAACATAAAATTTACCATTTTTAAATGAGAAGGTATACAGTTCAGTGACATTAGGTACTTTAAAAACCATAAACATTTAAATGTTACCAATTAAAATAGCCTAATGTACCCTCTCTCCCAATCCCCAATACCATTCTGAGTACAATTGTTGCTCATTTAGGTTTAGGTCTTTGGTTAAAAGGTGATGTGTTTCAAGTGGTGGTTAATGAACAGTTTAAAGAGAAAGCACAAAGAATAAAATGTCTAAGTTACAGCTGTCAGCTAAGGAATCTTTATCAGGTGGTAAATTCTGCCTCTACAGCATTACTACCCAAATGTCTGTAATTAATAGTGTAAAGTGATACTCTGCAATAGATTTAAGTACGGATGGGACACCACACTAATTGTTGGTTTTTTTACTAGTTTATTTTTCCTAATTGAGAAAATAATACCGTTAGCACAGTATCATAGTGCTTCTTTATCTTCCCAAGATAATTTTAACTTGCTCACAGCATTTTCTTTTCATAAAGAATTTATATTTGAAGATGAAAGGCCTTACTGTTGCTTCTGGGTGATTCTGAAAGTGGTTTTGACCCCAATAACATGTTTTTTTCAATTAAAATAGTTTCATCTTTTTTTAAATATGACTATAGTTGATATTGTTGGTTATTATTGCTTTCGTTAAGTTTTGAAGATTTTAATGTGTTCATACTGACTCGCTACATGGAAAAATATGAACAAATGTGAACTTTGGTTTGGATCCTTATAGTTTAGGCTTGAACATGGTGAGATAATGTTTAAATCCTATTATTTTTAGAAAGCACATCTCAGTTTATAACATATAAATTATATTTTATTTCTATAGGCATCTATTGCCCTTTCTTTCCCGTTCTGTGACAGCCATTTATCAAGCTGCTGTTAGAGATTGTGATATAAGATAAAAGATGCTCTGAAGTGAAAACCTCCATTTTCTGCTTTTATTCCAGATCTGGTAGTGTTAAGGATGGCTCCTTGGTGGCCTGTGCATTTTCTCCTAATGGAATTATCTTTGTCACTGGCTCTTCATGTGGAGATTTAACCGTGTGGGATGATAAAATGAGGTGTCTATATAGTGAAAAAGCACATGATCTTGGAATTACCTGCTGCGACTTTTCTTCACAGCCAGTTTCTGGTTAGTTTATTCTTTTAAGCATTAGTGAATCCTATTTGTACTTTGTATATGACTTGGTTCTTTTATTCATTTTCATTTCATCATTAGTAAAACAAAGCCCTTTTAATTCATTTCTTTTAAGGAATCGTCTTTCTCCTTTGTATTTTTGTTGTTCAAAACGAAATTTCAAAGAAATATTATATAGGAAAATCAGGTTCTTGAATGTATGTAGGGGATGATGCAACTTGGTACAGTAGATCTGGATTAATTAAATAGGGTAATTTAGAGGACTTAACCCTATTGGTTGTACTGCGATTTTTTTAAATGCAGTGTGTTGATATTCAAACAGAAGTGTGAAATTAAAAAAATTGGAAACAGCATTTACATTTTCCATTTACTTATTTAATCTTCCAAAAGCTAAATTTATAAAATAAGGTGTTTGGCATCACAATTAGTTTTTAGCAAAAGAATAAAAAACTCCCTAATGTAGACTCTGTTTTAAATAGATACACTGAATTGGAAAGTTTCCTTTTATTTTCATCTTCTATGTTAAGATGAAATTTCTGATTTTGTCCTCTTCTGATCTCGTTGCCAGACCAGTGCTGTCCTATAGAAATATAATGTGAGCTACATATGTAAATTTAAATTTTTCTAGTAGGTGAAGTATATATTATGTATTTTATCCAGTATACCTAAAATATTTCAATAATCGATGATAAAAATAAGATATTTTACTATGTTTTGGTACATCTTTGAAACCTGGTGTGTATATCATGTCACATCTCAGTTGGAGCTAGCCACATTTCAAGTGTTCTGTAGCCCCATATTTGGCTAGTCACTGCCTTATTGGACAGCTCAGGTCCAGAGAGTAGCAGAATGGTTTTGGCAGTACCTGTTTCAAACCCATCATGGCTTGTTAAAAAAACATTACAGTAAGATCAAATACCACATCCAAAGCACAAAGCCTGTAAGTACCTTACATGTTCTGTTTCCCTGACTCATCTCAAATCACACTCGGCCTCATGCATTCTTTTGCCACACTGGCCTCCTTTCATTCCTTAAATGTTTCTAAGGTTTTTCCAACGGTTTTACATGTGGACCCTTCACCCTGTTCGGTCTTAGTCATCCTTTAGATTTCAGCTTAAAGAAAAAGAACACTTCAAAAAAAAAAAAAACCCCAAAACCCACTTCCGGTGAGTCTCCCTTACTCTTACCACCTGCACTCAATCTAAATCGTTTTGATAATCTTTTATTTGCATACTTTTACAGTACTTAGAGAAGTGTCAAGTTTAATTATATATTTATATAGATCACATTTAATGTTTTTCCTAGACATCATTAAATCTCCAACAGGGCAGAGCCTGTGTCTGTTTTATTCACAGTGCCTGGTACATAGAAGGCTTTGAAATGTAGATTGATGAATAAGATTCCTTTTAGTGATTTGTTGAAAAAATTTTTTTAATGTTTTAACATTATGTGCTACAGCCACTATGGGAGACAGTGTGGAGGTTCCTCAAAAAATTAAAAATAGAATTACCTGATGACCCAGCAATTGCACTTTTGGGTATTTATCCAAAGAAAACCAAAACACTAATTTGAAAAGATTTATGTACCCATATATTCACTGCAGCACTATTTACAATAGCCAAGATACGGAAGCAACCTAAGTGCCCATCAATAGATGATTAGAAAAAGAAGTTATAGTATATATATATGTATGTACATATATATACAATGAAATATTACTCAGCCATAAATAAGGGAATCTTAACCATTTACAACAACATATACAGACCTAGAGGATATTGTGCTAAGGGAAATACGTCAGAGAAAGACAAATACCAAATTATTTCATTTATATGTAGAACCTGAGGAACAAAATAGATGAACAAACAAAAAGAAAACAGACTCATAGATACAGAAAACAAACTGGTCGTTGCTACATGGGAGTTGCTACATGGGGATTGGAGAGCTGAGTGAAAAGGCAAAGAGATTGAGAAATACAAATTAGTAGGTATAAAATAGCAATGGGAATGTGGAGTACAGCACAGGGAATATGGTCAATAATGTATAGTGCCAGACGGCTACTAATCAGGGGGATCACTTCATAAATTATATAATTGTCTATGCTCTACACCTGAAACTAATATAAACCAATACTGAATGTCAACTCTGATGGAAAAAAGAAAAAGGTATGGATGAAAAATTGCAACTAGAGTAATCGGGAGGATCACTTCGTAACTTTTATAAATGTCTAATCATTGTGCTGCATACCTAAAGCTAATAGAAAATAAAAATAGAAAATAAGTATAATACCCACAGCCTTAACGTGCCTTTTAAATATATTTCAAAGTATTTCTGAGTATAATTCTAATCTGTGTCTCAAGATTTTTTAGTTCAGCTTCTGTTGAAATAGATATTAACCTTATGTTTAAATTTCCTGAAACTGATACATGCTTTAAAAGGGATTATTATAGGAATTTGTGGGAACTGCTATATTTTCTTAAAAGACAAAGTATGTAATTTTAATTAATTGGTATTAATATCTAAGTATTTATGACACATTGACACTTCTGTCTTGGTGATATTTTGCTCATATAAGGAAAAATAATCCCATTTGTGCCTGAGGATAAATGATCAGTTCTCTCCAGTTTTTAAATTATAAAGAAAACTTGAATTAGGTTATTATTATAATTTAAATATCTTCCTGAACAAAAGTATATTTTTATTTAGATATTGAGCATAGGCACATTTTAAGCTCCATATTTTTCCACTGTCCTAGCTGACTTCTCACTAATTAAATTTTGAAATTAACTTCAAAGGATCTATTTAGTCAAGAAACATTGAAAAAAAATGTTTTCCTGATTGAATCTAGTACTGAAATATTTTGCTCTTAGCCATTTGAGTAAAATAGTTGTGTTTTGTTTTGCTTTAAAAAGACTTAATATCAGGAGTTGTTTACATCCATCAAGATCTCAGAAAGGATTCCCTTTTGACTGAGCCTGTGCTACAAGAAAAATGTTATTGAAATGTAGAGTTAGAAAAACTTCGAGGGAGAAGGCAGTTACTTTGTTGTATGTTAGTAAAGTATGTGTGCTTTCAGTAAGACAAAGTCCATAGAAAAAAAATTATTTTGTATACCCAGGTGTATAAATTCAATACCATATACTGAATAGTTGCAAAACTAGAGTGCATTCTTAAGATGGATTTTAGTTTTCTTAATTGTGTCTTACTGCATATGAGTGTCAGAACTTTCTTTGATGAAACTCCTTCTGTGGTATTAGGTAGAACTCATGTAAAATTGAGTTGATGATATCAATATTTATATTACCCACAAGTATTTAGGAACTTATCTAGCAGGTATATAATAATATAATGAAATTATCTAAGCATAAAAACTAGTCAGGTTGTTTTGGGAACACCAAATCTAACTGATTACATATCCTAATTTGTGTAGTATTTTCCACCAAATCAAATAGATTGAGTTGATGTTATTTTGGATTTACAGAATTTCAGCCTTCATCTTGATTAAATCAAATGGGGAAAAAATTTCTCATTCCATATGAATTATAGACTAAACTTTTTAAGAAATGGATATAGTCTTTAAAAAGTTGGGAATAATTAAACATTTAACACTCAAAGCTAATCTTCCTAATTTTTTCTAACAGTGCTAACCTCATGGACTCTAAAATTGGGCTAGAAGATGCCCTAGGCTTGGTGGCTCAATATTGGCCCTTCAGCCTTCATTTATATCCTTAGTGGAAGATAGACATTTTGTTGTAGCAGTTTGGGGGCTAAAGTTATAATTCTTTGAAGTACCTGTTTAAAAAAAGTCTTTTCTTTAACAGGCATTTCATTCTATGGCATAAGGTAATTAATATTGTTTGTGAATCCGGTTTAAATAGAATTAACAGATCTCAGTATAAGAAATTTTAAAATTTTTTGTTTAAATGTTTTGTCAATTGTGTATTTATTTTTAACAAATTTACATTTTTAGATGGAGAACAAGGTGTTCAGTTTTTTCGATTAGCATCATGTGGTCAGGATTGCCAGATCAAAATTTGGGTTGTTTCTTTTACCCATATCTTAGGTACGTATTCAACAAGTAGTTCTCTGAAATTATTTGTGATCCAGACAAAATTTCTATTTTAATTATTCTTTTTACCTAAAGTACTCTAAATATCTAAAAGTGATTATAAAAATGTTTTAAGGACTTTTAATCAGAGTAATACATATATATAATTTAAAAATTGTGTGCTCATTGCTGATTATGACCTCACCACCATTACACACAATTTTGCTTACCAAAGGTCACCATTTTGCACTTTATCTACTCTTTGGGTGGTTTTCACAGTTTCTATAAATATTGTTTATTCCACCATATTTTAAATTTATTCACTATAGTGATAGTTTTTTGATAGTGTGTGGGTCTTTCCCTTCAGGTGACCCTTCAGTCAAGAAACAATACTGGAATATAGCATTCTTTTGTTGTTTTTTAAATTTCTTCTCCACTTCCTCTATTTATAACTCACATTAATTGTTGGACCTCCTGACGTAATTTCTTATGTCTTTCCCCATTCCCCATCCTTTTTTCTACTTTATGGAAAAATTTCTCAGCTTTATCTTTTAACCTTCTGTTGATTTTTTTTTTAATCCTATCAGTCATATTTTCAATTTTTAAAGGCTCATGTTCTTTCTTTTTCATAGTGTCCTCATTTTATGAATACAAGATCCTCTCAAAACTCTCAGGATACCAATTAGAGGCTTTTTGTTTTTGTTTTGTTTTTGAAGTTCCCTTCTGTTTCCTGATCATCTTTGTTTTTGCTCTTGGGCCCTTTTTTTGTTTACCCTGATATCTCTCTCTGATATAGTTTCCTTGGTGAACCTTACTATTGGTGAACCTTAGTATTTCATTTACATTTAAGAATTAGGCAACAGTAAGATGTTGGTTGGTTGTCGTTGGCTTCTGTTTAGGGTATGGAGGTGGGTTCTTGGCCTTTATTGGGGAGCAGTTGTGGGCTTTGAAAATTTGGGTGCTGTGTCTCTCTGGAACTGCCATGAAGCTCCCTAGGCAGTAGTTATTTTCCTTAGAAATGTTTTGCCTAGAGAGAAGCATCTGGCTTTTGACCAACATACTGTGGTGGGGTCAGGGAGGGATTGGAGGCAGACAGGGAGTGTTTCATAAAGAGACCTAGTTAATTTTTCTGTTTCCAGGTCCATATCTGTGTCATTCAGACTTTGCTTTTCCCCGGTTGTTAATTGTTTAAAGGTTTGGGGGAGCTTTCTAGGGCAGATTAGCTTTCTCTTGGCATTCTGGGCTGTCTCGCCACTACACTACTTCATGAATGAGCTTTCTGCCTTCCCCAAATTGGTTTCAATTTCTGATTTGGTGATGTCCCCTTCCTATTCTCTTTATTTATATGAATTTATATTTTTATTAATTCATTATCATTTTAATGGAAACAGAAATATGGTCAGTTGGGCATCTTGCTTCAGATGCCTAAAAATATTTTGTTATCTCATAAGCTTCAGTTAAATCAGACTACATTTTGTTTAGAATTATTGTCAAAGATAAACAAAGCTGGACATTACAGTGGTAAGGACAGATTTTAATTGGGAATATACTGTTGCAGTAAGGAAAAAGAGTCTAGTATGAACAGAGTGCAGCTTCAGTTAATACAGAAGTGACTGGATGTTTTAAAGGGAGAATGAGGAAATTAGGAAGGGTGTAAGTAAGGGCTCTGTAGTCAGAGAAGTGAAAAATTACAAAAAGCAGGAAGCCGGTCTAGTCCATGTGAAACCCCTCTGGGTTTGCCAATTGGCACTTGGAGAAGTTAAGCGCCTACCCTCCCACAGAGCCTGGGAGTCAAGGGCCCTATCTTAAGGTGTTGGTGGGAAGAAACAGTAGATTTTGGGGAGAAGTCTTTAGTTTTCTCAGACAGGCACTTTAAGGGGGCTAGGGTCATCCTGAGGATGCAGCCTTGAGCTCTTAGAAACTGTTAAAGTCTTTGTAGGCCAAGGTCAAGGCCTAGTTGAAAGGAGGGCTCAGAATAGCTTGCCTAGAGTTGGGTCAGGGAGAGAATCTTTTTCATTATACTAGTGTGTAGAGAAGGGCCAGTTATCAGGAAATAAATACATTTATTTTTGTGGAAATTTAATTCGTTGCCGATTAGGTTACATTTAGTAATTCTTTTAATGAATTCAATGACATGGTGATGAGGATGATGTTCCTTTACCTCTCTGTTCTATCCTACCTCTTCCTTCTGCTGCTATCAAAGTAAAATTTTTATAAGAAATCATGAATATAGTCATAAATGTGTATGTTGTAAACATATATCTTTAATAAAATTGTTCAAAAGTAAAGCTTTTCATGTGTTGTCTGGAAAATGTGTTTTTTACACTGACTTTAAAAAACAAATTTATAAATGTGCCTTTTTACAAAGCATTTATTTTATTCGTACCTAATTTTAATTGCTTTTTTGTAGGGAGTTGTAGATAGACATAGCTCTTATACTTGAGCATGTAACCTATTCCTAGGATCATATTACAAGTTTTTTTGTCATTTGATTCGCAACATAACATTTTTGCTTTGATTGTGTCTAGTTATTGATCTGTATGCTCTACACAGAGCCTTTAATGCCCACATCTGTTCTCCCAGATTAGAAAAAATATTTTTTTTCTATTTTGAATAGAAATAAGATACATTTTAATAATAATGAAATTATATATTTCTTCTATTTGTTGTTGAAACTTTTACTTGCTCTAATGTGACCATTTTGTTTAGTTAAATGTTTGTCATCTTAAGAGTCATTAACCCTTTTAAAAAGTTTTTATTAGGTCTGAGAAAATTATAGATTTCACTTAGTTCCTTGTCTCCCCAGGCCAACTTCTTAATAATTTCTAAAGGTTATCATTAAACTATATTGAATTCCCTTGGTTTACCTTTAAAATAGTAGTGATATTTCTCTTCATAGGAAGCATAAGAAGTATTTTAGTATTGCCATACGTGGCAGGAGTGTTATAAGATATGTTAGAATTATAAGATATATAAATTACCATTAACTTTTTATTTATGGAATGAGAAAATATTTTTTTAATATCAGATTCTAAAAACTACAGGTATTTGATTCTTTTTAGGCATTTGGGCAATTAGTGTGTGTGTATATATATATTAACTAAAATATATAATATATATTAAAATTACCAAGATTGTGGTATAGTTTAAATTTTTAGATTAGTTTAGAATTTTATATTTTAAAAAGTTTGATAATTATAACAATCCCTGTCTAAAGTTTGCTGAACACACTTTTTTTAACTTATTATTCAACTTTCGAATCCACTTAACCCTACTAAATTCCAATACCAGAATTGCATAAAGATTTTTTTTCATTTTTGTGTCCTTTAGGCACTCAGAGATTATTGAATAAGTGAAATAGTTTTGATTTAAGAATGAATTCTAAGCACGGTTGGCTTGATATGGTTTCTTGCCTTCTTATTTGCAGGTTTTGAATTAAAATACAAAAGTACACTGTATGGGCATTGTGCTCCTGTTCTGGCTTGTGCTTTTTCTCATAATGGGCAGTTGCTAGTCTCTGGGTAAGCGATTTAATTTCCTTAAACCTTTTTGATATGAAATAGAAGAGATATACAGAAGAGTACATAAAACATAAGAGAACAGTCTGATAAGTTACTGTGAAACTTGTATAACCACTGCTCAGGGCAAGAAATAGAACATTGCTGGTTCTGTTCCAGACGTCGTCCCCTTACCACACACCTTTCTGGTGACAGCACCTCAGGTCATAAGCAGTGTTGCTTTTTTCTTTTTAAACTGATTTAGAACAAATCACACAATGTGAATTATTTTTGTCTGGCTTCCTTTACTCAACATTATGTTTGTGACATTCATTCATATTCCTGCATATACCTGTAGTTTATTGATTTTCATTGCTGTGTCATATTACATTACATGTATATACTATAATTTATCTTAATGTTGATGAGCATATGCATTATTTCCAGTTTGGGAGCATTACAGTAATAATTCTATGACGATATCTGTATCTCCTGGTACACACATTCGTGTGTTTCTGTAGGATAAATACATAGGAATGAAATTGATGGGTCATAGAATAGTTATATTTTCAGCTTTGACAGGTGACACCAAATCGTTTTCTAAGTGGTTGAATACTTCTGTAGCAGTTATTTCATATTCTAGCCTATACCTGTGGATCTTTTTAACTTTAGCCATTCTGATGTATGTAAAGTGTTGTCTTACTATGGCATTAATTTGCATTTTCCAGAAACAATGAAGTTAGAACCTTTTCAGAATTTTATTGGCCATATGTATTGCCTCTTTAATGAAATGCCTATTCAAGTCTCTTGCCCATTTTTCTTCTGGGTTATCTTTTTCATATTGATTTGTCGAATATATATACACGCACATATACTGTCTGTATTTCTATATGTGAGCCATTTATTGGTTATATGTGTTGCAAATATCTTTTTTTACCCAGCAGATTTGCCTTTTAACAGTTTACAATTTTAATAGTCAGTTTCTATTTTTAATTTTTTTAAATTAAACTTACTAGAGTGATAATGCTTAATAAAATCATATAGGTTTCACGTGTACAATTCAATAATACATCGCTTGTATATTGCATTGTGTGTTCACCACCCAAAGTCAAATCTCCTTCCGTCACTTTATATTCATTTAACCCCTTTACCCTTACTTATCTCTCTTCTCCCGTTTCCCTCTGTTAACCATTAAACTGTTACCTGTGTCTGTGAGTTTTTGTTTGCTTTGTTTGTTGCTTTCATTTTTATATCCCACAGATGACTGAAATCATATGGTTCTTGACAGTCTTATTGAGGAGAATTTTAAGGCTTCCAGTAGATATGACTTCTGTGGTCAGACTATAATCAGCTACCTTGTAATAAGTACAAATATTATTAAAGTTGTATAGAGAACACAAACACCTGTATTGTTGATATACTTTCTTTCCTTGCAACATGTATCATGTTGGTATAAATACAGTTTCTAAAAGGGGGGGAAATAATATAGAAGCATATTTATCTGTTTTTAATTATGTACTTTGTTATAGCATTGAATTTTTCTTTGATTTTTTTCACCACTAGACTAATCCCAGATAGTTTTTAATTTTTATACCATTGAAAGAACCCATATAGAGTCCAGATCAAGTTTAGAGCTGTAATTTTCAAAACTGAGTCATGATCAAGACAATATCTATATAACATATATATGTATATATTGATTAGTAATTAAGGCACAGCTATGTCAATGATAAAGCACAATGCTACCTGAAAACTACCTGAAACAAAAAACAAGTAGCAAGTAATGGCTTCTCCTTATAGTGGTTTTTTCTCTTTGAGTTACTAACTTGATATGGGATTGTATCTTATTTATACATAACAAATGCTTATTCTGTTTATGGCTATATAGTATAGCATGCACTAGTGTTTAATAAAGTTTATAATTTTAAATTTCTTATATAGCATGTAGTTTTGTGAGAAATCATACATGCGAACAAAGAGACTACATGTTAAATGTATATCAATATTTCAGCCTTTTCTAAAATTATTTAAGTAATTTTAAAATACTAATTAAATAAATGCTGTACTTTGTTTCTGTAGAACTTTACACTCATAACATTTTTCTTTTAAAGATCAGTGGATAAGTCTGTCATAGTGTATGATACTGTAAGTATTTCAAAATCTTTGTGCAATCTATGTAAATTGCTTTTAGGCTACTGAACTTCAAGTTTAGTTAAGCAAGCTGAAAAAAATGTATACCTTTTTTCTGTTTATGATGCCTGAGAATATAATATATACATTCATAAATGCTAAAATAGTTATGCAAGTAAGGTATTTCTGGGACAAGCCAAACTCTTAAATAGTTCAATAATGATTCTAAGATGGACAGATGTTTCATCTGATCAAAGAAAATACAGATTTAAAGAGCACCGCTCTCCAAAGTATCAATTTATATCAATTATTCTTAAACTTCTATATGACCTTTTCAAAACAGCAAAAGATGAATGTTTATCCCAGGGTTTGGGGATGGTATAGCTGAGAGTGGCCTACCACAGTTAAGAGTTTTGGCTGGATCTAGAGATTAGTAATTAGGAAGAGTAGGGGTTATAATGGTTTTGGAAAAATGGGAGTTTTGGGTAGATCCATGTGAATAAAGAAAGACCAGTTTGCCAGTTTGCATGAGTATGAAGATGAATGAACTTTTTACATATAGTAAGGATGTAATTGATGAAAATATTTTCCAAGAGAAGTCAGTGTTGAGTAAAACCTAATGATGACTGAATTCAGGCTGTAGCTATTCCAGCATATGAAATGGAAACATAAATCATCAAAATGTAGTGGGACAAATAAGGAATCTAAATTAGTTCTCCATATAGAAGTTCAAATCACTGAGAGTTCTGACAGAAAATGGGAAAGAATACTTACACTAGGTGAAGTGGATCCTTAATATTTCTAATTAAATTTTCATGAGATTATACATTTACAACAATAGGTATAACATTAAATTTTCTCCATAAAGTATATATGTGAGTCTCAGTTATATCCATCTAGATGCTGGATGGCCAGCTAAGAAAACTCAAAATCTAAGTGACTTTTTTTCTACTCACCAATCCTGCAATGAGTACAAATCAAATATCATAGCAAAAACACAAATTATTTCATATAATAGACATTTAGGTTATTATTAGTAATTTCGAACAAATGAACAAAAGCCAAGAGTCTATTATACTTAAAATTTCTAGGAAAGTGGTCATTAGACAACTGTGCTGATAATTAAGAATGAAATAGCTACCTGATAATATTAGGTATAGATGCTCTTTTTTATTCGTTGGGTAAAATTTCAGCTTCTATTAGTGACATAATGTTTAAATACATATACCATATAAACCATATATGTGAAACAAGTTTTTAGTAGTAAATATACTCTTGCTTGACTAATTGTAAAGCTGTTTTTGTTTGTTTTCAGAATACTGAGAATATACTTCACACATTGACTCAGCATACCAGGTCTGAACTTAACCTCACTTTGTATTAATATTAATTAAAAAAATTAGTCTGAAGATACATAATAGTTGTTTTTATTAACTAGGTATGTCACAACTTGTGCCTTTGCACCCAATATTCTTTTACTTGCTACTGGTTCAATGGACAAAACAGTGAACATCTGGCAATTTGATATGGAAAGACTTTGCCAAGGTTAGTAAGGGCATCACATTTAACCCAGTTCAACCCCATTCACCATTAAAATCAGAAATTCAGTAATTTTTTGACAAATTATTCACATTGCTTTTCTCAATATAACGTATACATCAATATTTAATAAAATTTAAAAATAATTTTAGAGAAGACAGTGTTAAAGTAGTTGACCTATGTTAAAACTGCTGATGAATACTTTTGGGTACACATTCATGTATGTCACACCTTCTATAGTTTTGTAAGCTATTTATTTATATTCCACATTTTTCAGATAATTATAGCCTGAGAACAAAATAGTAATTATAGTTTTATTTTGTTCGTTTTGGCCTCATCAAGCTATGATGACATATAATTTAGGAGTTTTTTATTTTTATCACTGTCAGAGTTAACTAAATATTGGTGCTGATATGCGGATGATAGAGCAAATAGAATTTTTACTGATATCAATTTTATATAATAAAAAAAATCTTTGAGTAAAATAGAAAGTTTCCAAAGAGTAATATTTAATGTATTAAATAATATTATAAATACTATTATTTGAATTTCTGAAATTTCTTGAAAAGATGTTGAAGTAGTAAGACACGAATTTAGGACATTTTATTTACCTTTTAATTCAAATTAAGACTGTTTATAAAAGAAATGCTTTTTTTTTTCATTATTTCACTTGCCTTTTTCTTTGTGTGTGTGTGTTTTTTAAGCAAGGAGCGCAGAAGATCATTTGAAGCACTTTACTGAAGATTGGTCAGAAGATGACGTCTCAGCGTGGCTTTGTGCACAAGATTTAAAAGACCTTGTTGATATTTTCAAAATGAATAACATTGATGGAAGAGAACTGTTGAATCTTACAAAAGAAAGTCTGGCTGATGATTTGAAAATTGGTAAGATTAATGAAAGATTGTATAGGACAGCATATTTTAGATTATAGAAAAGAAATGTTACATAGTATTTCTTTAGGTAACTTAAGGCCACCATGTAAGTGTAATTTAAAAAAAAATGTTTTAATAGTTTAGGTATAATTACATATGATAAAACTCACCTTTTTATAAGTGTGCAGTGCAGTGATTTTTAGTATGTTCACGAAGTTGTGCAACTACCACTACTAATCCCATGCTGATTAGTAGTCCTTCTTTCCTTTCTCTCTCGTCGCTGGCAAACGCTAACCTATTTTCTGTCTCTAAAGATGACTATTCTTGACATTTCATACAAATCATACAACACACCGCCTTCTGTGTCTGGCTTCTTTTATTTAGCATGTTTTCAAGGTTTATCAATGTCGTAGCATATATTAGTACTTCATTTCTTTTCGTGACTGAGTAATATTCCATTATACAAATTTGTCACTTTTTGCCGATTTGTTCATCAGTTGATCGAATTTAGATTGTTTTAAATTTTTTAGCTATTACAAATAGTTGCTAGGTATATTCATGCACAAGTTTTTTGTGTGGGCATGTTTCCAGTTTTCTTGGGCGTATAATTAGGAATGGAATTGGTGGGCCATATGGTAACTCTGTATTTACATTTGAGGAACTGCCAGACTGTTTTCCAAAGCAGCTGTGCTATTTTATCTTCTCAATAGCAATTATATGAGGATTCCAGTTTTCCATATCCTCATCAACCCTTGTTTGCTTTTTAAATTATAGCCCTCCTAGTGGTTTCTAATTGTGGTTTTAACATGCATTTTTCCTCGCGATTAGTGATGTTGAACTTCTTTTCATGTGCTTGTTGCTAAATGCCTATCTTCTTTGGAGAAATGTCTATTCAGATCCTTTGCCCATTTTAAAAACTGGGTTGTCTTTTTATTGCTGAGTTGTTTATATATAAATTTGGATACTAGAACCTTATCAGATATATGATTTGTAAATATTTTCTCCCTTTATTACACAGAAATTTTTAATTTTGATGAAATCTAATTTATCTGTTTTTGTTGTTGTTGCTTGTACTATAGGTGTAATATCTAAGAAATCATTGCCTAATCCCAAGTCTCAAAGATTTACACCTATGTTTTCTTCTATGATGTTTATAGTTTTAGCTCTTATATTTAATTGTGTTATTAATTTTGACTTCACTTTTGTATATGGTATGAGATAGGGGTCCAGCTGCATTCTTTTAGATGGATATCCAGTTGTTCCAGCACTGTTTGTTGAAAAGACTGTTCTTTCTCCTTTGAATTATCTTGGCACCTTGTTGAAAATCAATTGACTGTAAATGCGAGGGTTTATTTCTGGACTCTCAATTCTATTTCATTGGTCTACTAGTACCACACTGTCTTAATTACTGTAGCTTTTTAGTAAGTTTTGAAATTGAAAAGTGTGTGTTCTCCATCTTTGTTTCTGTTTTTATTTTCAAGATTGATTTTGCTACTCTGGGTACCTTGCATTTCCATATGAGTTTTATGCAAAATTTCAATTTCTACAAAAAGAAAACACAATATTCATAGGGATTGTAATGAATCTGTAGATCAATTGGAGGATTGTCATCCTAATGATATTAAATTTTCCAGTCTCAAAGCACAGGGTGTTTTTCTGTTCAGGCCTTATTTCTTTCAACAATCCTTTATAGTTTTTACTGTACAAGTAATCTTTTCTTAGGTGTACAGTTTACTGGCTTTTAATATGTTCACCACTATCTGATTTCAGAACATTTTTATCCCCCCCAAGAACCCTGGTCTCCTCTCCCTAGTCTCTGGCAACCACTAATCTATTTTCTGTCTCTATGGAGTTGCCCGTTTTTGACATTTCTTAGATGTGGAACCATACAATATGTGGCCTTTTGTATCTGGCTTCTTTTATTTAACACAAAGCTTTCAGGGTTCATCCATGTTTTTGTGTGTATAAGTACTTCGTTCCTTTTTATAGCTAAATAATATTCCATTGTATGGCTATGGCTATACCCCATTTTGTTTCTCCATTTATCACTTGATGGACATTTGAGTTGCTTCCACTTTTTGGCTGTAATCAGTGATGCTGCTCTGAACATATATGTAGGAGTTTTTGTATGAACCTATGTTTTCATTTATCTCAGGTATATGATTAGGAGTAGAATAACTTTACATTTAACATTTTGAGGAACTGCCAGACTATCTTCCAAAGCAGCTATACCATTTTACATTTCCACTACAATGTTTGAGGTTTCCAATTTCTTCATATTTGTCAACACCTGTTTACTACTTGTCTTCCTGATTATAGCTGACCTAGTAGATGTGAAATGGTATTTCATTGTGGTTTTGATTTGTATTTAATGATATGGAGCATCTTTTCAAGTGCTTATTGGCCATTTATATATCTCCCTGGGAGAAATGTCTGTTCATATCCTTTGACCTTTTTAAATTGGTTTATTTTTCTTTTTGTTGTTGAGTTGTAAGAGTTGTTTGTGGATTCTGGATACTAGATCCTTATCAAAAAACAGTTCGAAATCTTAGTGTTATACTCTGATAAAAATAACCAGACACTGTTATCAATAAGCAATAATAAATTCTTAACCAGAATGCTGAGGAAATAGGATATCCATAGTGAGAATTATTGTTAATGAAAAGTCAAAGTTTGTTATAGAAAACTATTTTAAAGTTTAGTATTACACTTTCCATGATATAGTACGTGAACCTATTTAAATTTCTCGGGAGCTTATGGCTTTTTAAAAAGTTAACAGAACGATGATTTTGTGATAATACTTAGGGTTGGATGGTTTTTGTACCCAGGCCATACTATGAAAGTTACTTTTGTATCTCTGACAACTTATTTTCTTTGTAATTTACTGTTTCTTCCTGAAAGTAGGTAATACAGTGTAGTTTTTTTTAAGTTCTGGTAAATTTAACATCTTCATTGTTAAATTTGAATTTAACAATGTGACTTACCATTACTCACAATAACTCTTAACTACCTTATCATACAGGAACACTTGACAATGTTAAATAAATTCAGATTTCAACAGTGGATGTTTGAAAACACGAGAGAAGCATAATAAAAACAATAGTAATAAAATTCTATTCTGATAGCCAAATATATAAAGAATAAGAAATTCTTATAGGATTTAATGGCCCGAAATAATTTTTGAAGGATGAGTCTCAAGTTTAGTAGTTATGGTCATTTTAAAGTTAAGTGAAATAAGTTTTGAGAGTATCAGACCCAAGCCAAAATTGAAATGTAAGTTAAATAAATTCTGTGGTGGTCCGATAGCTACTTGAATTAGGAAAATCATTATTATGAATGGAGAAAACAATGTTGCACATTCTCTAATAAATAAGAAATCTGCTTTGTGTTTGTGTTCTAAGATTTCTAAAGTCTGCAAATTCAACAAATTCAACAGAACAAATTAGTAAATAGACTAGCACATTTATTTTTTCACATCATTCTAAAGTATTTTAAAGTTTTTGCAAAATTATTAAAGGATCAAAAGGCTAACTTTAGTCTTCTACAGGTGCTACTTTAAGCTACAGCGAATTTGTCTTGAGTTTTAAGAAAATTTGTTTCCTCTAAACAATAAATTGGAATAACAGAAAATTGAAATTGGGTGAGGAAAAAAAAAATGTTAAGTAAACTGATGAATATATGATAATGAATTTTTACTCATTCCGTGCAGAACTATTTACTTGTATTTGCATTAGTGGTACAACTGTTAAAACAGTTCCTATGTCAGCATGAATAAATATGAATTTGCTTAACATTTATCATATGGAGGAAGTTGATTAATTGAGCAGTAAAGTATATTGGAGTGTTGGAGACCAAAGTATATCGGTATTTAACACTTAAAAAAATTATTGTTAAGGGATCAAGCAGTCCATCAAATCTTTTTTTCAGCGTCTTTTGTAAATATACAATAAAGGAACTTTCTGTAGACTTAAACACCTGTTGGAATCTGGTGCTTTAACCTAGGATAATGGTCATTTTCTAGGATTGTGTTAATGAAAACAAGGGTACAGTAGACATACAGTTTTAGGTAGGAAATAACTCCTTATATCTAGTCCTACATTTCCATAAGGAATGTCCAGATAGATAACAGGTACAAAATATCTTTGACATCTACTATAGCATTTACTATCTCATTCAAAAGACTCAAATTATGAAAAGTGAAGCACAAGAAAGTCTCTCAGATGTGATGCTAGGCAAGCAGTAAGTCTACTAACTAGCCACGTAACTTTCATCTGCACATTAGCCTCAGTTTATATCTGGACCTTTGAAATATTGCAAAATGCTACTGATCTTGGAGTTTGGAATTGCTGTAGATAATATAATAGTAGAAACTTGGAATGACAAATGCCAAGAAACTCTTGTATATCATGTCAGTCCTTATATTCAAATATTTATCAATCGTAGATTCCTAATTGGGAATGAGGTTTTTTTCAGAGTTCCCTCTACCTTTTGCTCTTGTGTTTCCAAGAAACTATAAAAGCACATGAGACATTTTTAATCATTTTCTAATTTAAAAATTATATCAAGTTATATCAAATGCATTTTAAAACTTTATACAACTGTCTTAATATCCTCAGATTTTGACAGTTTCGCATTTCAATACCTAGTTCATTTCCTAGTAATACAGTACTTCCTGATGTATATTTTCACTTGTTGCCTAACTGCATATAGTGTTAAGTAATAACTTTACTGTAATTTTTTTTTATACATGATTAAAGTGAAACAATTCCTTCAAATCTAGTTACTTTTGGCTGACCTGCTGTTAGAGTGGGCATAACCCTTACAATTCAGCAGCTGTCCTTAAATTAGCCAACCCCACTTTCCAGTGAATACTTTTTGGACATTTTGGGATCTCTTTTCCTCAGGCCTATCAGATGTCCTGTTGCTTCTTTCCACACAGATGTCATCTTCAGGTCTTAGGGATATTGGCAGTTTGTTGTCACCTATTCATCTTGTGGAGTTCATGAGGATACCTAACTTTGTTGGAAATGTTACATGTGGGATTTGATTTTGCTATCTAGTTTCTGTTTTTATGTAGAGATTCAGAGAAATTAAACTATAATTCTACTACCACTATCTTCTCCAAATCCTTTAAAAACTCCCTACTGAACCTATAGTTGCATTTCCCTTTTCTTTCCTAATATAGTTTTTATGTATTTGTTTTCTCTTGATTATTCTAGACAGAAGCTATTTTTTTAATAAAATTTATTTTAAATACTAAGCTGTTTTTTAGTTTTCCTGAGAAACTAGTTTTTGGTTGTGATGTTCTCTCTCGAGCAATGAAGAGATAATAAAGTGACCACCCTGATGGGCTGTGCTTGCTAGTTTCAGGCTGTTGGGCCGTCTTGTTACCTGCTGGCAGCTGGTGCTGGCGTTGCTCTTTTGGCAATAATCTTATAGGACAAAACTGGAGAGAGTGAAGGGTACAAGTAGAAAGGTCTCTCTTCCATTTTGTGCACGCACATCTCTGCTATAAGCTCTCATCTCCCATCACCGACTCTGGAACCCAGTTACCTCTGTTTCCTCATGGGTTTTCAGAGTTTTGTTTTCTATTTTTGACAGTTACCTGTCTAGAAGCCGTCAATTCTCAATTTATGTAGCATTTCCAGAGGTGGGTAAGCAGTAGGAATGAGGGTAGAAGAGTTAGTGGCCTATTTAACTTGCATCTTATTAACCAGATGTCTTTTCAGGGATATAGTATATACAGGCATACCTCATTTTATCACATTTTGTTTTATTGCGCTTTACAGATGTTACGTTTTTTACAAATTGAAGGCAAGACCCTCCACTAGCAAAAAGATTATGACTCGCTTTATTGCGGTGGTCTGGAACTGAACACAGTATCTCTGAGGTATGCCTGTATATCCAGATATTGCCCCTTACCCATACTGAGGGTTTACTAGCCCTCGGCTGGAAAGGGTCCTTTCCTTCTGAACAGTTAAGTTTAATAACACTCAATCCTGACTCCCAGTCACAAAAAGAGGTGTTTGTTTCTGGCCAAGTTCTGTGGATTTGACTTGGTAACTGCTTCCCTGAAGGCAAATGGATATGACTGTTTTAAATTTAAGACATTAAAATTGGACAAGGGTAACACCCAATTTAACCTTTTCTTATCTGGGGCATTTTGAAATAGGCTTTCTGTATCCTGTATTATAAATATTATAAACATTCTAAATATTAGCGAACATATAATATTTTTGACCGAGTGGGAAATTTATATATTTTTCAGACTATTAAATGCTTCTATAGTCTTCCCTTATTATATGTTTTAAATTATCCCTTTAAATGAGATGGCTACTGTCTGATTATAAACATCCCGTGGTATTTTAAAAAATTATTTTAAAAATCTTCAGTTTGATTTCAGTGAATTACATAAGAAGTCATAAGAAAGCAGTGAAGTAGTCCCTAATAGGTGGCAGCTGCTAAATTGACTTGCCATACTTCCTTAGATATGGTTAAACAGTCCGGATAGATTTAAACAGCTTATGACACAACAGGCAGCATGAGCTTCATGTTCACGTTGGTTTCCGTTTTACCCTAAGTCTTGGAGGGACAATTTGTATTTGAGTCACACCTGAGGAACCTTGAGCCCATGACTCCCACCCCTACCCACCCATCACTGCCAATCTTGTAAGACTGTTGCTAGCAAACTAGCCCAAGAGGAAGACATCTGTGTACTAGATCAGGAAACAGATCTGCTCTCTGAGTGGAAGGAAGATGACACTCTCTAGCTTCTGAGGTTTGCAAACATCCTTGAAAAGATTGCAGAGACACAATGTATCAGAAGGTGTGTATAAACCCCATGGAGCATTGCCTCCCAACAGAAAAAAGCTGATTTGGCTTTTTATGGGAACTATTAGGCATTCTGAAATGTAATTCTTTTCTTCTACCCATGATACCCCAAACACCTGCACCTAAAGTAGAACTGTTAGTTAATTTTAAACACCTAAACGGCTAATAACACTAAACTTCCTAAAATTAATTGTATTAAACTTCCTGAAATTAAAAATTAAGGTAATTTTTTAAACAGGATAAAAATAAAAATACAGTAGAATGAAACTGTGTACAAACTTAGATAAACTTATTTTGCGATTTTGTTTCATATGAGAATTAGCAAATATATTCAATTTTATACAGTTTAAAAATATGAAATTTTTACATTATTAAGTTGAACATCTTTAAAAATTATTTTTAGGTAATTTTTTGTTGTCTAAATAACCAATAATAGCTTTTTCTGATTTTGCGTAGTATATTAGTGTTCAGCAATCTAATTCTTAAGAACTTTCGGAATCTAAGGTTGTTTACAATAAACTATTAGTCGCTGATTTAACTACACAGTATTCTGTACTACAAAAATTCATTAAAGAATTTATAAAGAAAACAGTTGTATGTGGTAAAATAGTATGTCTAAAGATTTTTGTTTGTAAATAAAATCTTCCCGTATTTGCTAAGGAGTTGCATAAAGGTTACCAGTAGTTCTAACAGAATAATTTCTTTTTAGAATCTCTAGGGCTGCGTAATAAAGTACTGAGGAAAATTGAAGAGCTCAGGACAAAGGTGAAAACCCTTTCTTCTGAAATTCCTGATGAATTTATATGTCCAATCACTAGGGAGCTTATGCAAGATCCTGTCATTGCATCAGGTATGTGTGATGTTATTCTAAGCTACAGGGCGTATTATGTGCTAAATGAATAATGCAGACAGTTCACAGAAATTTATTTACATGTGAAAAGTTTTTAAAACTCCTGTTTTATTATAAGTAATCCTGTTTTTTTTTCTTAAACACTTATTAGCTTAAGGTGAACTATTAAACATTGTATATTTCTTAATGACTAAAATGGGATGGAGTAGGTTTGAATGAGAGACAAAAGGAGTAAGTTTTGCCAGCTTTACTTAAACTTGTGAAATGTATAGTTACTAGAATGTAAAGTTAAAATATTGTGGTTTTTTTAGGGTAGATTGTTGAGATCACTTACATTTATTTTGTCCGTCATGGATTTAAACAACCTTACAGAAATAAGAATTTAAAGGTCATAAAGCATCATTCCACATTAATTTCTAATCTTTCAATAAACAGACATACATACTTTACATAGTTATAATCAGTGAATCCATATTATATTTTTTTATTTTTGTGTAAAACTTTTGAATTTTATTCTACATAATTTTCAGGTTTAATAACTTTATTCCATTGTGGGCCTATGCTACATTTTGTTTAACTCTTCTACTCTTTGGTGTATGTATGTGTTTGCAAATCTTTATATTGTAAGTAACATTGCAGTGATATCTTGCTACTTTTTCTTTTTTGTTATTACCATTACTTAGGATTATTTTCATGGCATGTGTGTCCCAAAGCAGAATTTACTAATGAGAATACTTTATGAACACAAAAAGAACAGTCTTGATAGTTTTTGTTAGATTTGTTATTAGATTGTTTTATAGAAAAAACATTTACAGTGCTACCAGCAATATATTTAAGTATACTTGTTTTTCCAGTTTTTTGATCATCAAATTTTATAACTATTTTTGCAAGTTTAGTAGTTGTTTGAAATTGTGTTCCTTATGTTGCTGTGGAGGCAAGAAAATTTTCTACATAGTTTACCAGTTAAATATACTTGGGTTTAAAATATTTCTCCATCTTCTTTGATAATTAACTTATCTGAAGGATTCGAATACCACCTTATATTATTGTGTCCACGTTATTAATGAAACTAATATGAAGTTTTATTTTGTTAGTATCATTTTAATGTATTTGTTTCTACTTCTCTGAACTTTTGTAGGCAGGAACATTTTCATTTATACAACGGTAAACGTTTTCTTCCAGTTTTTATTTTATTTAAATGCATTGGAGTGACATTGGTTAATAACATTATATGAGTTTGAGGTATACAGTTCTATAGTACCACATTATATTTATATCTGTATATCCATTGTCTGCTCACCATTCAAAGTCTAGTCTCCTGTCACCATATATTTGACTCCTTTTACCCTCTTCATCCTCTCCCCACCACACTTCCTCTTTGGTGACCACCATACTACTGTCCGTGTCTATGAATTTGTTTTGTGTTTGCTGCTTTCTGTTTTATATCCCATGAGTAAATTCATGTGGTTCTTGTCCCTGTGACTTATTTCACTTAGCATGATACTCTCAACATCCATCCATGTTGTTGCAAATGGTAGTATTTCATATTTTATTATGGCTGAGTATTTCATTGTGTATATGTACCACATCATCTTTATCCAGTCATTAGTCAAAGGACACTTAGATTGTTTCCATGTCTTGGCTATTAAAAATAATGCTCTAAAAAAAAAAAGAAGAAGAAGAAAAGAAAGAAATAATGCTGCAATGAACATAGGGGTACATATATCTTTACAAATAAGTGTTCTCAATTTTTTCGGGTAGATACCCAGAAAGAGGATTACTGAGTCATGTGGTAGCTCTATTCTTAATTTTTTGAGGAACCTCCTTACTGTTTATACTTAGAAGCTATACCAACATACATTCCTACCAGCAGTGTACGAGGGGTCCCTTTTCTCCACATTGCCTCCAACACTTATTTCTTGTCTTATTGATAACAGCCATTCTAATAGGTATGAGGTGATATCTCATTGTGATTTCGATTTACATTTCCCTCATAGCTTGTAAGATTGAGTATCTATTCATATATCTGTTGGCTGTCTGTATGTCTTTTTGGGAGAAGTATCTGTTCAGATCTTCTGCCTATTTTTTAATTGGGCTGTTGTTGAGTTTTATGATTTCTTTATATATTTTGGACATTAACCTCTTATCAGAGGTATTGTTTGCAAATATCTTCTCCCATTCAGTTGGTTACCCTTTTGTTGATGGTTTCTTTTGTTGTGCAGAAGCTTTTTAGTTTGATGTAGTCTCATTCATTTTTGCTTTTACTTCCTTAGCCATTAGGATCAAGTTCATAGAAACCTCTCTGAGACTAAGGTTCATAAGTTAGGTGCCTATCTTTTCTTGTATGTATTTTATTGTTTTAGGTCTTGTATTCAAGTCTTTAATCCATTTTGACTTAATTTTTGTGTATGGTCTCAGCAGCCTAGTTTTATTTTTTTGCATGTGGCTTTCTAATTTTCCCAGCCCCATTTTTTGAAGAGGCTTTTCTTTTTCCATTGTATGTTTTTAGCTCCTTTGTCAAAAATTAGTTACCCTTATATTTGTGAGTTTATTTCTGGGCTCTCAATTCTGTTCCATTGGTCTGTGTGTGTTTTTCTGCCAATACCATGCTGTTTTGAATATTGTAGCTTTGTAATATCATTTGAAGTAAAGGACATTGATACCACCAGGTTTGTTCTCAGGATTGCTCTGGCTATGTGGGGTCTTTTGTAGTTCCGTACAGATTTGAGGATTTTGGGTTCTGTTTTTTGAAAAACGCCATTGGGATTTTGATGGGAGATTGCATTAAATCTGTATATTGCTTTAGGTGGTATGACCATTTTAACTGTTATTTCTTCCAGTCCATGAACACGGAATATCTTTCTATTTCTTTGCATCATCTTTTTCAATAATGTCTTTTAGTTTGCAGTATTTAGAGCCTTCATGTCCTTTAAGTTTATTCCTAGGTATTTTATCCTCTTTGTTGCAATCGCAAATGGGATTTTCTTAAATTTTTCTGATATTGTATTAGTATATAGGAATACAACACATTTTTGTACATTGATTTTGTATCCTGCAACTTTACTATGTTTATTGTTTCTAATATTTTGGTGGAGTTGTTTAGGGTTTTCTGTATATAGAAGCATCTCCAAATGGTGACATTTTTACTTCTTCATTCCCAATTTGAATGCCTTTTATTTTTTTCTCTTGCGTGATTGCTCTGGCTAGGACTTCCAGTACTTTATTGAATGAGTGATGAGAGCATCTTTGCCTTGTTCCTGATCTTAGAGGAAAAGGTTTCAGTTTTTCTCCATTGAGTATGGTATTAGCTGAGGGTTTGTCATATAATGGCCTTTATTATATTGAGACATTTTCCTCCTATATTCATTTTGAGTATTTTAATCATAAATGGCTGTTATATCATGTTAAATGCTTTTTCTGCATCTATTAATATCATGATTTTTATTTTTTATTTTGTTAATATGGTGTATCACATTGATCGATTTGCATATGTTGAACCATCCTCACGTCTGTGGAATGAACCCCACTTGATATGTTATCTTTTTAATGTATTGTATTTGATTTGCTAGTATTTTGTTGAGGATTTTTGTGTCTGTATTCATCAGAGATTTTGTCCTGTATTTTGATTTTTTTGTGTTATCCCTGCCAGGTTTTGGTATTAAGGTAATATTGGCCTTGTAAAATAGTTAGGAGGTATCCTCTCTTCAGTTGTTTTGGAAGAGTTTTAGAAGGCCGGGTATTAAATCTTCTTTGAATGTTTGGTAGAATTCATAAATGAAACCCTCTGGTTCTGGACTTTTGTTTTTTAGGGAGGTTTTTGGTTGCTGTTTCAATTTCCTTACTGTTTATGTCTATTTAAGGTTTCTAGTTCTTAATAGATCAATCCAAGAAGGTTGTGTATTTCTAAGAATTTGTCCATTTCTTCTAGGTTATTTAACTTGGTGGCATATGGCCTTTTATAGTATTCTTGTATAATCCTTTGTATTTCTGTGGTATCCATTGTAACTTCCCCTTTTGATTTCTGAATTTATTTGAGTCTTTCCTCCTTTTTCGTTAGTGAGTCTAGCCAGTGGTTTGTCATGTTATTTATCTTTTCAAAGAACCAGCTCTTTGTTTCATTAATTTTTTCTATTGCCTTTTCTCTATTTTGTTTAATTCCATATTTTTTATTATTTCCTCTGTGTACTGACTTTGGGCTTTGTTTGTTCTTTTTCTAGTTCTTGAGGGTGAAGTATTAGATTTTTCTGATATTTTTCTTCTTTCCTGAGGTAGACCTATAATGCTGTGAACTGCCTTCTTAGTACTGCTTTTACTACAAACCCCCAAATTTTGATATGTTGTATTGTCATTTGTCTCTATGTATATTTTGATCTCTTTATTTCTTCTTTCACCTAGTAGTTGTTCAGTGGCATGTTGTCTAATCTTCACATATTTGCGGTTTTTCCAGTTTTCTTCTTCTTGTTAATTTCCAGTTTCATATTATAGTTGGAAAATATGCTTGGAATGAGTACAGTCTTATTAAATTTATTGAGACTAGTTTCGTGCCCCACATATGATCTATTCTTGAGAATATTTTATGTGCACTTGAGAAAAATGTATATTTTGTCATTTTGGGATGTAATGCTCTGTAAATATCGTTTATATCCATTTGGTCTAGTATGCCATTTAAAGTCGATACTTCTTTATTGACTTTGTTTGGTTGATCTTATCCATTGCTATCAATGGGGTATATATGGCCCCTACTATAATTGTATTTTTATCAGCTTCTCCCTTAGGTCTATTAGTAATTGTTTTATATATTTTGATGCTTTCATGTTGGGTGCATATGTATTGATAAGTGTTATGTCTTCTTGATGAATCGTCCCCTTTATCATTATAAAATATCTTGGTCTCTTGTTACCTTTTATCTTTCCATCTGTTTTGTCTGATATAAGCATGGCTACACCTGCTTTTTCTCTGGATGCCATTTGCTTGAAGTATCATCTTCTAACCCTTTGCTT